GGGGGTAAAAGTAGAGGGGAAATTATGTGGGCTCTAGTTTTAGCAATACTTTGCTTAGAGCTGCAAGTACCATCCAATAAAGGACATTTTATCTGAATCAGGCCTGGTTTCATGAGAATTCTTCTGGATTGGGATTTGGACATTGTAGACTTGACATTTTTATTACTTTATTTTACTTTATATTTGTTTTGTTTTGTTGTATTTCATGCTATACAGCATTGTTATAACCTACGATTACAACGATAAAACTTATTTACTATTTAGTGTAGTTATTTGAGAAATATTGTTTGAAATAAAGGGATCTAAGAAACTGAAAAATTCAGCACACATGAGAAAATAATAATCAATTAATGTATGGATAAATAACTTTTTATCTTGGGAGATCAATTCTGACTTAGAACATACAGTAGCAGATATCCCACAATTTGTCCATTAATTAAATGCATCAAAACAGAATCAAAGTGTGAGGCTCAAAGAAAAACTATAAATTACCATTAGCATTAGAATACCAATTTATATTCTAGTGAATTATACAAAAATCCATAGACATTATGATCTTGTTTAATAGCACAAGCTAAAAGTTCTAAAGAATGCTCAAAAGATAATATTTCACAAAGTGAACAACTGGGTGAGTCTTTGATTTACAAACTGAAGAAACCTACAGTATATCATTCATTTCCACAAGAGTCTAGTGTCGCCTGATTCTGAATTACTGAAAATTAAATAAATCATTTTTCCAATGATGCAATATTCCATAATCTCACATCAGAGTAAACAAGATTTGCCCCATCGTATGACTGATTAACGGGTTGGTCTGAGTTGTTTGGAAATTCAGAGGACATTTCTCTGGAATTGCAGGTCTAAGTGTAACTCTAATCTCCCTTCTCAAGCACACATTAAAGACAGAATTGTTTCTGACCAGGAATATGCTTGCATGTATAATCAGAATCTGATTCTCAAAACTGCTCATAATTAAATGCTATATAAATATAACAATAACAATAATAACAACACAATCAATGAATAATGGGAATATAACAGAATTTGATTTTTGTTTTTGTTTTGTTTTTTGTTTTGTTTTGTTTTTATTTTAATTTGGTACAGATCTCTGACACAAAGAGTTTGATTTGTTTTTTTCCCCACAAAGGCTTTTTTATTATGTAGAATTAAAGTCCTATTTTTCTCATCTTAATGTTAATTCTATGCCCGATTCTATTTTCCTGCTTAAGTTCTTCCTACCCAATTTTTCTCATCTTAATGTTAATTCTATGCCCGATTCTATTTTCCTGCTTAAGTTCTTCCTACCCAATTTTTCTCATCTTAATGTTAATTCTATGCCCGATTCTATTTTCCTGCTTAAGTTCTTCCTACCCATCTTCTGCTAGAGTCTTCCTATTAGTATAAATTTACAATGATTTCTTTATTATTTAATCTATACATGTCTATCGTTATGTTTATGTTCATATCCCTATGTTTGTAGCACTATGTTTTCACATCTTAACTACCCAATAGAAGAGAATATACAGTATGTAGCTTATGCTTGAACTGTGGAGTCCTTGGTGTTCTCTGAGTTTCTTGGTTTGCTTGCAGACATTTCATTACCCAACTAGGTAACATGTCAGCGCTAGAGAGTCTGGGGTTGGCTCCCTGTTTATATGTAGCAGTTTGTTCTCATAGGGCAAGCTACAGAGGGCTGGTACTTCCCCAGGTCTTCAGCTATTGTAGCCAAACTCAGGCCTTTCGCATCTGAAAATCCTTTTCACTCCTCTGTAGACTTGCAAATGGGGTTTTTCTCTCTCCTCAGCATTCACATCCCCCCTTCCTGGAGCTGCTTTTAGGAGCTCTGCATCTGGCTTGTTTTAGTTGCTTTTTTTGCAGATGCTGGTTGGGCTCTTTTCCCATCCTGTCTTTCATCTCTGGCTCTCAGTGGGTCTTGCAGCTTCAAGGTTTATCGTTCCTCCCACCATCCAGGGCCACCGAGTTGCTTGTCTTTGTATTGAAGGTTTTCTCCCAACTTCTTTACTGTTTTCTGGGATCAACTCATTTTTTGGCATATCTACCTACATGTTTGATTTCTGATCCACTTTATGGGACACACACAGTGAAAGTAGGGTTGTTTTAAACCTTGTTCTCAGGCAGCACCAAAGCTCTGGATCCCAGGAAGGGAAGGGGAATGCTTGCCCAGTCTGGATTGTGATTAATTCTTCTACAAACAGGGGTATTAATAGTGAAATAATAGGGTTATTAATAGAGCGTAATAAAAATAAGCAATACAATTTCGCTAAAAGTTTGACAATATAATCTAAACTCCAATTCTTCCCTCAAGGGCAAGACCAGAACGAGGTGAGCAACTTGAGGTTCTAATCCTATCATCACACCTCAAAGCCAATTCTGATCATAGTGTATGAAAACTGATGGGCTGGTTGTCTCACATTTTGAGATAAGAAATGCTCAGAAAGTTACTGAAGCCCTAAAATAAGTTTTACATAAAGTGTGTGCATGTATGCACAGACATAGACATGTGATCTCAAATTTTCCTGCCCTGTCCCCAAAAAAGTAGAAAAATCTTTTTCCAGAAAACATTATTATTCACATGAGAAGAGGATCCTTCCTCTCTCTTTCTCTCTCTCTCTCTCTCTCCCTCTCTCTCTGTGTGTGTGTGTGTGTGTGTGTCTCCCTCTCCCCAATTCTATATCCTTCCTTCCTTCCTTCCTTCCTTCCTTCCTTCCTTCCTTCCTTCCTTCCTTCCTTCCTTTCATTTGTTTTTAACATTAAGCAAGTCAATCAACATATTTTGGAGTATATTGTAAATTGCTACCTTATTTTTTACCCTTCTCAAAGCTCTCTTCACATCTTTGTTCCTCAGGCTATATATGAGGGGGTTAACCAATGGTGGAAGGATTGTGTACAAGAGAGAACAAGCTTTGTTCATTGAAGAGGATGGTGGCAAGAGATACACAGTTATTAAAGAGCCGTAATAAATGGAAACAACAATAAGGTGGGAAGAACATGTAGAGAAGGCCTTTTGCCTTCCAGTAGTAGATGGGATTCTTAGGATGGCCCTTATAATATATATATAGGATGCCAAGGTTATTAGAAATGGAGGCATAGTGTAAATAAATAGCAAGATTAAATTAACATGTTCCACCAAATCTGTGTCACTGCAAGAAAGTTCTTTAAGTGGCACAGAATCACAAAAGTAATGATCAATTTCATTAGGGCCACAGTATTTTAATTGGAGCATTGTAGTCATTATTATGGAAATACCTATGAAGCCATTTGTCCAGGATACAGCTGCTAACTGGATACATCTCCTGATATTCATAACCGCTGCATAATGCAATGGTTTACATATGGCTAAGTACCTGTCATAAGACATCACAGATAGCAAATAACATTCTGCCCCCAAACAATAGCCAAAAAGAAATAATTGCAGGAAACAGTGGCTGAAAGAAATGGCCTTTCCATCCATCAAGAGTGTCGTCAACAGTATGGGACTGAGAGTTGAGCTGTAGCAGATCTCCAGGCATGACAAGTTACAGAGGAAAAAGTACATGGGTGTATGAAGATGCTGGTCAGTCACAACAAGAACGACAATGAGAAGGTTCCCTGCCATTGTGAAAATATAGATAAAGAGGAATGCCAGAAACAGAAGGATCCACAGATGCTTCAGATTTTGGAATCCCAGGAGGATGAATAGAGTGACATGAGTTTGGTTTTCTCTTTGTTGCTCATCCATTCATATCTCTTTCTTCTCTCATGAGTCTGTTAAGTTAGATGAGTGATAAGATATGATAGTAGGAAACAATGACCAATGTCAATGCATTTTTCATTCTGAATAATCAGAAATTAAAAGGTAGTTATGATCTAGTGAGCTACAATTCTGTTCTCTCCAAAACCCTATTTTTGCTTTCAGGATTATCCTCATTTTTGTTAATGGCTACATTCAGGGAAGTTCTGTATACAGAATATGAACTGTCAGCTTCCCATTCCTTGCTACTTCTGTTGCACGGATGACCAAACAAATCAATATTGATAGTATGCAGAATTGTAAAACTGAAATAGAATGGTTAACAGACTAATTCCCAACAAATCAGGTATTCACCTCTGCAAAAAAATTAGAACATTGACGGGCATTCATTAACATTCGGGAAAGATGAGATTCCCCTTTCATCCCTGCAAGGAGGAAAAATAACAATAATATCAATTCTGCATACAGTCAACTACCATTCTTTGCTATTTCAAAAACATTGTATTAACTGGGTAAAAATAGTGCCTGAGTCCTAGAGCTTTAAGAGTACCCAAGCACCAGTAGCAGAAGACAAAAAGAGAAGGAGAGAAGAAAGGCAAAACAAATGAATATAACCTGCAGAAATTTGATAATTCACATTCCAGTAAATAAATAGCCAAATATTTATCCTGGTATGTAATACTTTCATTGGAAAAAAATGGGTTACCTTCATTTTAATGATAATTACTTAGATATGTTTTAACAATGAAGAATGTGCAAATCATATATAAAACATACTATATAAATATATAAATGATATAGGGGCTAAAGTTACGATATTGATTTGCAAGATTTCTTTCTTTCTTTCTGATCTCATTTAAATAAAGAGGACATAAGCAAAAATCTTACTTGCAGTGTTTCTGTAGCAGAAACTATGTCTTCATTATGTGTTGATATGTTGTAACTTGAATGATGAATAGATGAGAAATAGATCCAGAACTGTGAGTGTTACAAGGTCTGAATATGAAGACTAAATTGTATCTTTATTGATAGTCCAGCCCTTCATCCTTTGAGTTGAAATAACTAATGGATGGCATTTCACCTGGAACATGATTTACGTGACAAATTAGGAAGGAAGATATCCCTGGATATTTAGAAGCTAATTCTGCTTTAAAAAAAAAAAAGTATACTAGTAGATCTGAAAGGAAAATCTCCAGCAAATATTGAAGCATCAAAACCTTTTCCAGCACTTGTCTCTGAAGTTCAGTGGCTTGGATGGTAATTGAGATGTGGATCAAGGGATTCTCAATCCACAGGGAAAAAACCTTTAAGCTTAATTTGGGAAAGGGATGCACACAAGTCTTGCGGAAGGGAAGGGAAGGGAAGGGAAGGGAAGGGAAGGGAAGGGAAGGGAAGGGAAGGG